AAAGAAGCTTTAAATTTTGCGTAGAATGTGAGTTCTAATAAAGATAAATAAGGAGAGTTTTTAACGCAACTTTCTGATGATTGCTTTTGCCTATAATATCAATTTTAACAATATTTTAAAATGGAACTTTAGATACACATCTTTTTTTACCATTCAAGGCATAACTGGGACATTTAACAAGACTTTCTAATCCAATATCATTAGTGATTAAATTGAAGTGACATATATTAGCTGTCTCGATATGTGAGTGTTTTCTAGTGATTTGCCCATAATGTTAGTATGCATGAACAGATTCCAAAAGGTGACATATTCTCTTTTGGTGTTAGAGAGATTGATATGTAAATCATAAAGAGACATAAAGGAAGAGTTATCATCTAATCTATATTCTAGTTTAAGAGATCTATCTAACAGATTAAAAACAACTAGATTAAAAATAAGTCTATCGAAAAAAGAAGAATCAACTATAGCGGATTTTGTTAATGATACAGGAAGGCGAAATCTAATATCTTTTCAGTTAAGAAGATGGCAACTATCTAGTGAAATAATTTGATCTAAATAATATAATTGTAAGCTTTTAATAATATTAAAGTTCTGTTTGTAGATAGCGTAAAAAATAATTGGTAAAATTAATGTGACCTCCTATTATGTGATTACGCAAAAAATCTTTAACCCTAGGTTTAAACCAGAAGCAACTGTGTTAGTGATGCTAAGTTGAGCACTAATTAGATTTTTATTAGAGGAACGGTTATAAGGATATTTCCAAAGGTGAAACAAAGATGACAGAAGGAGATTAAGTGATTGAAGTTGGAAGAGACGAATTGAAGATACATTAAAATAAAGATTTGTCGAATTGAATTAGTTGAGGAGAGCAGTTGTGAAGGATTTGATTTAAAGAGACCAAAGATCGTAAAGATTGTAATATTTGTTGTTATTTAAAACGGCAGTAAGAATTGTAATAGCAAAATCAGATTTTCTTTTAAAAAGAGTTCTAATAGAGCCAAAGTAAACATTACATTCATTTTCAGAAAGAGGTGTACATTGCAATCTATATTCTAGAAGTGGACAGAGGACTGCATTAATAATGTATGCAATTTGTTTATCAGTGAGAGGTTTGGGCTTCATGACAATAGCAAAATTATCGATGTCTTTTAAGGCTTGAGTTTTAATAAAAGTTTAAGAATTCGAACGATTGATCCAAATTCCTAGAAATCTCACAGAATTTAACTCAGGAGTAATATTGACTGTGGAGCAACCAAAGTTAATGTTGATGGTTGGGATTGCAAAAGACTTTGTTGTGATAAGCTTTGATTTGAATTTGTTCAAAGCAGCCCTAGTTAAATCATAAAAATTATCAGCTATTGCGAGAATATCTTCAAGATTTTGTTGATAGTTAGCAATCCAGTTAGTATTATCCATAAAGACCAAGGATGATACAGATTCTGAAAGAGTTGTCATGGAGTTACTGATAATGTTGTTGGTCTATGTATGGGAGATTTCATATCCTTTGTTTAAAGCATATACTTCACATAAAAGAGGATCTAGATAAATACACTATAGTAGAGAAGAGATAACCTCTTCTTGATCAATACCAATTTTGATGTTGTAATAACAGTAAGACCATCATCTATAAAAATTGCATTTTTTCTATTGATGAAGAGCTTGATAATAAGATCTACACATTTAGTAGGAATTTTGATGAGTTGTAATGTAAGGCAGAGAAATTTTAGATCTACACGATCATATGCCTTGGAAAGGTCTTGCAATAAAATCCAAAGCTCTTTTTTATTTTTATTAGCATCTTCTAACAGCATATTCAGAATTTTGATCAGTTTTTCAGTAGAACCTCCAGGTAAACCAGCAAAGTTATTACCTTTCAGGACATGATGTTTGGCGAGAATCTTTGAGAGTCAATTTGTAACAACTTTGACGAATGCTTTTCTTAATGTTTCTAATAAGGTGATTGGACGAGTCTTGGTAATATCACATTCCCATTCCATTGGTTTGGGAATAAGATGTACATGTGCAATTTTCCATTCACTAGGGGTGTCACCAATATCGAAGCACCATGCAAATTAATTGTCATACAAGATGTTTGAACTTATCACCTAGGTGTTGAAATATTTCATTATGGATACCCAAAGGTCCAGCAGCTTTGTCTTTAGCTAAGTGTGTAAGAACCGAGCACCATTCATTATATGTTAGAGGTTGCATAAGATTGTCATATATATTCTCAGAAACATAATTCTTTGGTTGATATTATGAGATCCATCTTCTTTTCAGAAATCTTGGAGGTGTCAATGGTAATGCATTATTTTGGAAGTGGTTGATTGCAATTTTTTTGATTTCATCAGGATCTAAAGTAAAATGTTTAGAACTATCATTATAATTAATAAAGACTCAATCCAAAGTAATTTTTCTCTTTTTCCTTTGTAGAATAGAATCTATCATCCTGCCAGGCTGAGATTCAAGCTGATCGCATCTTTTTCCAATAAGTGATTTTATTTGTGCATCAGTGTTTTTTTTGGCATCTAATTTAGTGAGCTTATACAAGACTTTATAGATGCAGTTGAGAGATTTTTTAACATTTTTAACATTTGATAAATTTAAAAATTGAGGCAGAAGATCTAAAGGATATGAAATGTCTTTAACAATATTTGCAACAATATATAGATCATGTTTCCATTCTTTACCAATTGACCAAAGCCTTTCTTTTAGCCTTTTAGATCGAAATTTTAAAAGAATCTTTTCAATCTTAGTGAGTAATGGGTAGTACTGAGAAAGATCTTTGGGTTTTGGTGTACGATTTTGCGTAGAGATTCATTTGTGAGGAATTTTAGACTTACTAATGTTTAAAACAGCTTTTTTCAGTTCCATCCAGAGATTATTCATATTTGCATGATTAGATGGGAGATCTTTTAAGCGATCAAAATTGTGGTTGTTGTAGTAAGTATTGGAATAATCAGCAAAAATTGTCTATTTTGTAGAGTCCATAGATTTGAGAAGAGGAATTTTTCTTTTAGTATCATTAATTCTTGAACGAGATTGAGATTTATATTAAATATTAGAAAAATAGGCAATAATATCTTATAATCTGATTTGTATAAGTAAGAATGAATTATGTTACAATAGAGGAAATCAGAAACAAGATTCTGAGAAGCAAATATTGCATCAATGCAACTTGAAGTATTCGATCTTTTGAATGTAGGTAAGGGTGTATCATGATAAATGTCATATAAGTCCAAGAAGTTTTTAAGAACGAAACCATGTATAAGATCATACTTTCAAGGAATGGTTTTACCAGAATCAATAAGGCGTTGTAATTTGATTAGATCTGCATTAAAATCACCTATGATGATAATGTGAAAACCAGAATGAAGATTGTTGTCTATAAGTCGTAGTAATGTTGTTTGGAAGACTTTCCTTTCTTTAAATTCAGTTGCATGAATATAAACTGAGAAAACTCTTAGTTTTATATTTTCTTTTAAATAGAGATCAATATAAATATAACATTCGTTATCCAAGAATTATGTTTAGACCAAGATTTGCTAATAAGTAAACCAATACCTGAGTATTTATTAGAGACAGAACTCCACAAATTATCAAAAAAAGGATTAAAAGAACATTTAAAAGATTGTGAAGATTGATGCCAAGTTTCCGATAAAGCAACAAAGTTAACGTTTTTTTGGTGAAAAGTATCAAGTATCTTGCTATTTTTAACATCATCACAAAGAGAATGTACATTATGAGTAGCAAAGTTGGGAGTGTTTCTATTTAAAATTAATTCTCTATCATCACTATGTGAATTTTCTAAGTTATTGTTTATAATAAAAGTGTGTTGATCACGTGATGAAAGTAAATTATAAGAAAAGAAGGCATTATTATTGTTAGGAAAAATTTGATTATTATTGTTAATTAAATTTGTGGGAAAAATGTTAGGATCCAGAATATTATTCGTTGTATTAATCATTTAAGGCATATAAAAAAAGGGTGTATCTAATTTTGAGACTGGCTAGCATTCATTGCGAATTGTTCAATTTGTTTGAACATTAGGTCCATTTGTCTTTTTTGTTCAGCAATAATAGCAGCTTGTTCATTCACCATATCAGTAAGGTCAGATTTTGGAGTCAAAATTGGTGAGGGTGAAAAGTTATCACTTGAAGATATAGCAATGCAAGATCTTTTATTAGACGTATCTTGTGATTTTGGTGGAGATTGAAAAATGTGGGAAACTATTAATAGATCTTTTCCTTTACTAACAATAGGTGTAGGAATTACTGTAGTTGTAATTATAGAGGAAGCCTAAAAAGATTCCAGTTTGGCGATTCTAGCATCCAGTTCATTCATATCCTTTTTCATATTGGAGAGAATTAAAAGAATCTATCCAATTTATTATTGATTTCATTATTCAGATTGTGAACAGAATCCTTCATAGTTGGTTTAATAACATCTTTTGGTAGTGGAGGTGGAGAGTATTCTTATTTTTGATAGCCTCAGAATAAGATTTAGAAGAACAGTTGGATCGTTTAGAATCCACAAATTTTCTAAAGCCAGCAAGTTTATATTTGTTGTAGAGTCTCTGCATTGAATTGTTTTAATATGGTGTCTTTGGTTTAATAGGTTCTTCATTGTCATTTAGTGTAACTGATTTTTGTAAAAAGATGCATTTCATAATAAGATGAGTTGGATCGCCACATTTGTGACAGCTTTTAGCATCAGGAGAACTGATTATTACCAAAAGCAAAGTTTTGTTAAGTTGCATAATTGAGAGCTTCCTCATTTTCAAAGTGCAAAATAACAAAGAGACGAGGCTTATAGTTGTTAGATCTAGGAATATAATTAGCTCTAGCTTTAGTAGCAAGAATTATATCATGAAGATCTCTTGTAGAGATACCAAAAATAAGATTTATTAGTTTGATATGGTGAGTATTCCTATATTTAATTTCTTTTGGAGACAAAGTGCAAGGATTGACATAGACAGAATTATTTTGGACAAAATGACTTCACATTTGATGAAATAGTTCAATACATTTAGGATTTTCATAAGTAATATAGGCATGTTGCCACATACCTCTTATTGTTATTTTAAATTCAGTAACAGTTTCATATTTGGCGAAAACTTGTTTAATATTAGCAGGCTTCATTTGTAAAGGAATATCGATAACATTAATAGTCTTTTCATTGAATTGCATATCAGCTTTGTATTGTGAGAAATCACAGAAAGTGTCGATTTTAAGATCAGGAATAGTCACATGTAAAGCTGTGGCAGTTGCGTCTGATATCACAAAATAGATAATTACAGAATACGTCAGATTGACGTAACGAACTGAAATACCTCTAAAATTATCATTTTGGATTAAAACATTGTTGATGGTAAGAACAATTTTGCTGTTGTTCTTTTTTTTAGTGTAAACTTGATGTTACTAGCAACTACAAAGGGAGTAGCTTTTGTAACAACGGTGAAATCTTTTAAATCTTCTTCCATATCATTATCTTTAAGATATTTGTCAGGGTCCAAAAGTGTAGATTTATCTTTAGTTGAAGAAGAGTTTTCAAGAATATTATCAACTTTGTTATTATTATTGTTGTTATTCGAAGGTGAAATAACTGGTGAAATTTATTTAGGGGTAGCAATTTTAGATACGTCAAAAAATTTAAAATCCATTGTTTTTTCTGGTAATGAACCAAAAACATCTTGAACAATTTCTAAATCCAAGTTAGTGGGGACAAAAGTTGAGGTTGAAGAAGACGAGGGAGCTGATGTAGAAATAACAGCTTCCTTTGGAGCTTTTGGAGTGACGTATAGAACGAACTTTAGGTCACTATTTTTTTGTTTCGCAGCACTTTTATACATCATAACTCTCTCGCATAGTGAATAAGGTAGGGTAAAACAAAAGAATCCTTCTTTATACTGGGTTTATTAATTAATTTTTTGTTAAAAACGAACTTTTAAATTTTTATGTTTCGTATGAAAATTTTGGTTTTGTAAAATAGGGAAGAGAGTTTTTTTTTATATACAAATTTTTTTTTTTTTTTTTTTTTTGATGTGGCTCTGCCAACTATATACAAATTGAATATGCATATATATATATTATATAATGCAGATAATTGTTCATGTTATAAATTCTCTAATTTGAAACATTTATTAATTAATCCAACCACATCTCAATTAAGCGAAAAAGTTAGTAAATTTAATAATAATCATTACTAATTTTTCATTCAATAACATCTCTTCATTAATTAAATTGAATAATGATAATTTATTATAATATTGTTGCATTATTATTTTAGAAGGCATATTTTTCTAAAATACAAATATTTTTTTTATAATTGAAAAATTTTTTTTATTATAATAAAATCGATCAAATATTGAATAATAATAATTTATTATAATATTGATATAAATTACTTTAAAGGTATTTTTTCTGAAATTCAAATTGTTTTTATTATATAATCCAAATTATAAATTCATATTGTGATTATTTATAAACTTTTAAAATAAATTTATTATAAATAAGCAAATAATAAATTGATCAAATATAAAGATTATTTTTATTTGTAAAAATAATTTACCTCTTTTGAAAATAATTTTAAAATGCTTGTATAACTTTTGACAATTCTTTATATTTTTAAGTATAGAGAAAAACATCAGGTGAAATTTTATAGGAATGGCTATTAGACATACAAGACTCAAAGAAAATTCAGATATTACTCAAACATTTAACATTACAATATTTTACTCTCTTGATGAAAAAAAATCTTGTTATGTTTTAAGATTAAAAAAAGGACAAGTTTTATTAATTATAAACTCAAAATTTGCTTTTGGATTTTCAGATAATCAAATTAACGTAAGAATTGCTATTTGTTTTGAATATTATTTTTGAATTATAATTAAATAATAATCAATAAAATTATTTTTTTAAAACAGATAATTTTAACTTCAGCTATAATCTTAAGCATTAAATTATAAGATTTACACGTTCATCAAATAAATGTTATAATTACAGCTTTAATTTTAGATGTATTACTTCTTACAAATCTTAGCATACAATTTGAATTTATCATTTCAGATTATATGGCTAAAGATAAGCTAAATGAAATTCTAATAATAATCTTTCATCCTAATGAAAGCTGTTTGAATAATCAAACAATGATGTTAAAATGGGGGTCTTCGATTTTAGTTTCAAATGCTTTAACAATCAATTGAAGTAAAACTTTATTTAGAATTATATAATTTTAATTTTTTATGTACTTAACAACAATTAAGCTTTGGATCAAAATCTATGAAAGAAATGCCTTAGTCTTCTACATCATCATCATTATCACCATCAATATTATCACCATCAACATCATCAAATACAACAATTTCAAAATCAACAATTTATAATAAGATTCAAAAGCAATAGCAATATTAGGAAAAAGAGGAATTAAAATGAAGTTTTAGCTAACTAAATTGACAAAATTATCAGATATTCTGTCAAATGCACTTGTAGCAGCTTGAAGAAACTTTTTAAAAAATTCAAGAAAAGGAAGAATCAACTCCTGAAATTGTATCTGTATTAAAAAATCTAAAAGTCATCCATCTCGCAGAAAAAAAAAATAGTATAATATTTTCTTTTTATTTTATTTACTATAAAGTTAATAAACATTTTTTATTTTACAGTATTTTGATATTTTTTTGTTTTTCGTATTACTATATCATAAAAGTTTTGCAATCTGTCAAACATACAACTATTATGTGTATTTAGTTTTTGGTTGGGCAGTGGCAATTTTTTTTTCATATGTTGGTAAGCCTAGCCTTGATTGTTATTTTTTCTTTTTGTCTTATTTATTATTTGTTGGTTTTTCATATATTTAATTAATTTTTTTTTATTTTTTGATATTTCTTCCACTTTTTGTAAGTACTTATTTTTCATTTTTCGTTGTTTTTAGTTTATTAATTCCTTTTTCTCTCTTTAGATCTTTGGTGGTACGCCGCTTTGGGTAAGTAGATTTTTTATTTTTGTTGTATTGTTTTCGTTCGATTATCAATTTTTCTTTTTTTTTTTAGGTCGGTCTTTCGCTTTGGGCCGTTTTGGGTAAGTGTGTTTCATATTTGTTGTTTTTTTCATTGTGTTTAATTTTTATTGTTAATTTTAATTTTTTTTTTTTTCGCCTGGTACGAATTTTCGTTTCAGGCCGCTTTCGGTAAGTGGATTTTATCATTGTTTTCGATCGAACATTAATTTTCCTTTAACTTTGGGTTACTTTGGGTAAGTGGGATTCATTATTTTTTTAGTTTTTTTTTTCGTTTTTTTAGCGATTTTTTTGCTTCGGGCCTCCTTGGGTAAGTGGGATTCATTGTTTTTCATTTTCTTTATTAAATTTTCTTTTTTTTTTTTAGATCTTTGCGGTTCTTCGCTTCGGGCCACTTCGGGGCCGCTTCGGGTAAGTAGGTTTTCTTTTTTTTCGTTTTTCGTCATCGATTATTAATATTTTTTTTTTTTAGATCTTTCGCGCGGTTTTTCGCTTCGTGCTTGCTTTCGGTAAGTGGGATTAGTTCTTTTGGGTGTTTTTCATTTTGGGCCGCTTTCGGTAAATGTATTTCTTTTTTTTATTAATCACTTTCTTTTTTTAGATCTTCGGGCCGGTCTTGCATTCGGTAAGTGGGATTATTTCTTTTCGGTTCGGGTGGGATTTTCGTTTCGGGCTGCTTTTGGTAGGTGGATTTCTTTTTTTTTTTTTTATTAACAACTTCTTTCTTTTTTTAGATCTTTGGGCGAGTTTTCGCTTCGGGCTTCTTTCGGGTAAGTGGGATTGTTGGGATTGTTTATTTTTTTATATTTCCGGTTTTTAGGTTCGTACCGCGGTGCGATTTTCGGTAAGTTTGTCATATTATTTTTTTTTAGTTCATTACATTAATTAATATTATTAATATTAAATTTTTTTTCGGTTAGACCAGCGGCGAATTTTCGTTCGATTTTATTTATGGTAAAGTTTTATTTATTTGAATTTTTTTTTTTTAGAATCTCTTCAATTTTCTGGTTTGTAAATACTTACGATATTTGGTAAGTTTATTTTCAGTTATTTTTGTTTATTTTAATTTTTGCTTATAAAGCAATAAAAAAAGAAGATATTGTTATTTTTTTATTATTAAAAAATCAAAAAAATATATTTATATCACAAATTGATACTGAATTATTGTAACCAGAGCCTTAACTTAAGTACAGAAATAGCCTTTACAAGGTTTTGGGGTACACTTTATACTCATTCGTATTTTTTTAAATCAAAATATTTTAATCAACAAAAAACAAAAAAAAAAAATACATTAAGTGCAATCCAAATATTTTTTTGAAGTTTCAAAAATTGTTTATAAAAATTATTTCCTGGTTCATAAAAGGCTAAAATTTCTGTTGAAATGTTTGCAGAATAAATAATAGCAAAGTTAAAACTAAAATTCTTCAGAAATCGCCGAAGAGAATTATGAATGGCAATTAAAAAAAGTGATATATTTCGTTAAAAATGAACTATCGCACTTATACAATATGTCTTTACATCTAAATTATCTTTAAAAAATGTATAGCTATTTTACATTCCATTTCTTTAAATTCAATAATCCAATGAATTAAAATCAAAAGTTTGTACAATAGCATACTTTAAGATTAATTTGAGACTTTTTAACGAAAAGGAAATTCTTGTATAACGACGTGTAAATTAACGTTATACACGATCAACAAAATGTTGTTATTTTATATTATTAATTAATAATCCCGAAAGTTTCGTCGATCAACGTAGGCAAAGCCGACCATGAATTGTCCTCTGGTGGCAAGTTGTTTTTTGGTCAAATTGTCCTCTGGGAAACTTGTCCTTTTGGAATGAAGGCATGTATATAAAGGATTCTTGACCAAAGAAAAATAGATAGCGTTAAATCATTAGATTAGAAATTCCCCCGATCCCCATTAGAATAGTTTTGATTAGCCGCAGTAATTTCGAAAAAGTAAAGAGCGTCGACGTTGAGACAGTATTTGATTAATTAATTGTTATTAAATAATTCTTGCATCTTTTTTGCTTAATTAAAAACCTTCTGTTACCTTCACTTTCGTTATAAATATAGAACTGAGCGCAACAACATCATTTTTGGTTAATAAATATTAAATTGAATATATATAAGATTAAATAAATTCATGTTCATAAAATACATGATATTAAAGATAGAAATTAAACACTATCATCTAGCTTGAATAATTGTATCAGAATTTTATCGAATGTTGTTTAGGTATATATTGAAGATTCAAACTTTGCATTTCTTGCTAAGTATTATCTTAAATTTTTTGTAAATTTTCCTTCAAATCTGAAAACTTATTAATACTATATTCTACTTTTGTTTGTTTTTGAATTACTTTACGTGTCTCATCAACATTAGCGTGAAAATATCTAGTTAAAATGATAATATTAAACTAAAATTTAAATAAACGATATAATTTTGGAAATTAAGGGCTTACATTACTTCAGGAAACCAGGTTTTCCAACGTCTTTGTCTTGGAAATAAATAAAATAATTCGATTTCTGCTAAAATCTGATTGATAATTATTTTTATTAAAAAAATTAAATTATTTATTATTATTATAGTGGACTTTACAGATAAATACCTTCGCTTTTTGTACTAAATACGAAATTCTATTATTATCTTCCTCAATAGCATTGCTGAGTAATCCAATCAATAAATTCATAAGGTACACAGCAATCAATAAAGAAAATAAAACCATTAGTGCGATAAGTCCTGGATTATCTTTATATTCCCAGTTAGGCAAAGCGTTCGAATCGCCTATTAAAAAAAATTAATAAATTAATATCTTGGATTTACTTAATTATTATTAAAGAATTAAAATATTAAGTTTACCCGTCAAATATAAATACATTGATAAAAGTGAAGTTCTGTAATTTGTAAACATGTTCGTATTCTTATCAGGTTGTTGAGTAAAATTTAGAGTAATCCCATTATCTAGTACTTGTGTAAATTTATCAGTTAATTCCCAAGGATTATTGGGATCACCATTGTCTGCAGATGGTGGTTTTTCTAAGTCATACTCTTTTCTTGGTTGTAACAGAATCCAAAAGGCATGAGCAAAACTCAAAAGTATAATAAATAAAATAACCAAAAAATAGCCTATCTTCTTCGCAACACTAATAATAATAACAAAATAGACACCAAATGCTTCGAATGCTCTCAAAAACAATAAAAATTTACAATCTAATAAAAGACATGAAATTGAAATCAAAAAGTAGGGTTTATCATCATTGGAGGAAGTTAACCAAATAATAGATGAAATGGTAGGAACTAAATACGCTCCAAAATCTTTTAAAAACCACAAAATAAATTAAACATCCGATGACGATTGTAATAATTGTAATGAAATAAATACATTATTCTTACCAAACAAGTTCCAAGGATCCATAATCCATTTAATAGGATCATATAATACTTGACGAATTTCGAAATTTAAGTGAATACATCCAAGTACAATTGTGGCGATTAAAAGTCTAGTTTTAGTACCTTCATCCATTCCTATTGGATGTGTTGAAACAGCCATAAAGCATGCAAGCAAAGCAGTAAATAACATCCATATTGAATAATAGTAATATTTTCCATATGAATTCCATTTGAAATTAATTAATGCTTCGCCACTCCAAGTTTTATAAATTTCTATATTTAGTGTCTCTACAAATGGACTAGGTTTAGGCTTAATTAATTCCCACCAACTGTAATCTTTCGGGTAATTAACAAATTTGATAAGAGGAATAATAAAAGTAATTGTAGGCATCAGTTTCTCCGGAAAGATCGAATCATTTATATAATCATAACATTTATAATAATTTTCAGAAAGACCATCTACGTAAATTTCGTTAATAATATGAAAATTATTTAAAATATGTAATATAAGAAAAGAAAAGAAATAGGAAATGTCAAAAAAAATATAACATGTTGAAATGCAATATAAATTCCCATTATTATCACAATTATTATGTTTTCGCTATGATTATTCACCAGACTAGTATATTTTGTCCAAGCAATAGATGGCGTTAAATTAACTATACCAATATTAGAAAAAGAATAAAGATGAGATGTACTAAGTTGTTCGATTTTATATTTAGGAGAATCTATTATCATGTTTGTATCTGATGAATATCTTGTGATATATTCTGGATAATATTTATGCAATAATGGCATTGATTTATTAATAATGCTTAAGAATGCATTATTGTTTTCTAGATCTTTTTTAAAGAGATCTAAACACTCATTATAGATCGTATCTATTAAGTTAGAATCTTGTAATTTAATCGCCGAAATTAATAATTCAGGACCATATCTTAAAAAATATTCTTTATCCCCATTAACATAATTATAAATATCAGATATTAACTCTGTATCGTGTTCCTCAATTGCAAATGTTAATAATGCAAAAACATATTTGGAAATTTCTTCATCATTCTCTTTAACATCTAGTACCTGTCTATCAACTATTGAGTAACTTTTATGAATTTCATGGATCTTTTCAATTAATTTAATTGATTTGTACATGTTATGATAATATCTCAGAAAAATCTTATCATCAATTAAATGGAAAATAAAAATTCCAATTTCTGTTAACATTACTATATTATTATTATTTAATGATTTGCGAGCAATTATCTCGATACCTTCATCACCTTCATCTTTGTTATCTATGTCTTTTGAAAAATTTATTCCGTCTCTTAAATATTTATTTGCGTCTCTTAAATATTTATCTTTGTCACTAGAAGATTTATCTGATCCAAGTAATTGAAGCAAATCTTCTTTAATATACAATTTACCTTTTGCAATCATAATTTGAAAATTACTAGAATCTTCCGCTAAATTTTCAATCTTATCTATACGTATAGCCAATTTTTTCATTAATTTTTCAATTTTATTTTTCCATATTTTGTGGTCTGTCTCCTCTTTAATTTTAGTTAGTCGTTCAATTAAATCTTTTGTAAATGCTTCAACGTTAATATCTAATTTTTTTAATTTTTTTATGCCATCCGTATTTATATATTTTTTGATTGAATCTTTGTATTGATTTATCCGATCTTCATGATTTATCTCATTCGATCTAATATCAGAAATAATTTTAATTAAATTTTCCATATCATTCAGAGTTTCATCGATCTTAAACTTCAGTTTATCTGATCCTTCAATTTTAATTTTCCATATGATAGAACCTTTGTCTAATTGACAATCTTTTAAAATTTTTCTTTGCTCTCTAGATAATTCAGAAAGATTTATACGCTCGTAATCATCATCATTTGTTTTTAATTGCGATGAATACAAGTTATCGTCTACGTTTACAAATCTATAATTTTCTGAATCAATATCAAAACGTTTAGTATCAGAGTTCCAAATCCAAGAATGATCAAATAAAGAATATCGATGATTTTTCATATAGATTTTCAGATTTTGTCCTAGAGAGAATCCCAAAAAAAATAATTAATAAGATTATATAAATAATAATATTAAAATTTAGTCTAAAAAATAGTTACCGTCATTCAAATCGAATGATACCATAGAACTTAGTTTATCTGAATGAATAAAAATTTTCTCATCATTCATTTCATTCATTTTCAGGCAAGTATAATCTTGATCATAAGAGATTCTAATATCCTCTGGGTTAATCTGTTTAATTGATTGAAGAACTAAATGTTGGTAAAAATTTAAACAGTTTATAATTCTTTTTAAAGTTATACATTACCTCATCCATATTTTTTACTATTATTATAGAATGCTTACTCAAAAGATTCCATTCATATATATTGTGATTAAAATACAGCCAAATTTTATTATGATTTGATATGCTTATTACCTCCGCTTCTTTAGGCATCTTGTAAATCTTTCGACACAAGCTTCTATTTAATTTTGAAATTGAATAAATTGAATAAACACAAACTATATTGATATAATCAAATTTAACGTTTTTTCTGACAGAACAAAATAATATAAGCCTTCCATCTTGGTTGAAGTTACAATTTTTTACTCTCATTGCTTTAAAATCAAGATATAATTTGATTTCTTGAATTTCTGGAGATGGATTATTCAAATCGATAATTTCTAAAAATAAAAATTTGGTATGAAATAATCACTAATTAATGGTTTAAACAAGAAAAATTTTAAACTTACTGATTTCATATGCATAACCAATGTATGATAGTATCATTTCATCAGAGATACACATGGTAATAATGGTACTGCGATTAGATTGATTTCTGCAACTTTTTAAAATTGGCTTTCATCTATACTTTTGCTTTCTATTATCTTTTCAATATTTTCAACATTCCAAACGACAAATGTTTCATCATCTTCACTGTAAGTAACAAGATATTTTCCTTTTGGTGAAAATTTCATCATATTAATAGGATTACCGTTATGTGGAGGTAGATATCCACTTTGTGAACGTGACATTTTGATAGAAACATTACTCATTTCTGGAATAAAAATTTAATTCTTTGGTAATAAGATAAATTGTGGGTAGATTAGATTTTTAAAAAATGAAATTAAAAATAAATAACTTCAAAAACAAGCGGATTAAATAGGCTTATTAGTGGCTAAGTTTATTTTGCACAATCCACTAAAACTAAAAAGAAAAAGAAAAAAATTATTCAATAAGCCTTCCCGAACTAACAAAAACTGCCACATACTAAGCATTCGTAAAAGCCGTTCCGGCAAGGTTGGAATTCCTGTTTCAATATATTGCGAGCATTTATTAGGTTAATGGTGGTATTAAAATTATGTCAGCATATTGAAGATTTTTCACGCTACACAAAATGACAATCAATTTTTATTTCGAAAGCCACACTTTTTATTGCATTTTTAATTATAATGTGAATTTATTTTAGATTAAAATTTAAATTAATTTCCAAAATAATATTGCAACTATATGCTTGTTCTTTTTTACGTTCATTATCTTCTTCGATCGATATCTTCCTGAGTCACACAGTGGCTTTCAAAAGAAACGCATCGCTTTACATTAACCAATTTCAGTACGTGACACCATTGTTAATCGTCATATTCAGATGAGTTTTGAGATCCTATTTCGATCAACTTGCTGAGTATTCAAACCGGATCAAATTTTAACAAATTCAACCCGTAGATCAGTTAATGATAGTTTCTAAATTCTTTCAGAAAGATAAAAATACTTATTTAGTTCTAAATTTACACACGTTTACTTAAATACTTGAAAATAAAAAGTTTAAGGTCAAATATTTTTAGATAGTCAAAAAATTTTCAGTTGTTTTATATAAATTAGTGCATTTTCATTTTACAATTTGCTTCTACATTAATAAATAAACTATGAAGAATTTATTCCGACCAAGCGGAAAGTCAATGTAAGTGTAGATTAATCATAAATAAATGATATAGTTCTGATTAATTAGTCCGATAGTGCTCCGAAAGGGTCGGGTTATTGACATGACTCGAATTTAGGGGTCGGGTCGTTTCACTTTATTATAGACCCTCGACCCGTCAGATGGAACGTTGCCAGTAGAGCACTCTTATCCTAGACCCCCCCCCCCCCCCTCCTTCCTTTAAATATGATTGGATTCGCATCAGCCACATTATATTTTCGTGTAATTTTTATCTTAGAAATTATTTCGCATTTCGTACACATTTAAAAATTAAAAAAGAACAAAAAAATTTCTATATTTTCGCGGACTTTTAAATTGAAAATATTCTGTATTTTTATTCACTATAAAAATTAAAGAATAAATAAAGATTTTTTAACAATAAATTATTATGAAATTACTTTAATATTTTAATATAACAATTGTAAAAAGTAACTGTTTAACCTTGGAAATACAATGCCAAACAAAAATCAATGTTAGAATTAATAATTATATTTTATTATTAAATGCTATATTAACAGTAAAAAAACGCGCGCTTTGGTATTATCACAAAAAAATCAATTTCTCCACAACCAACCATTCAAGATAAACTCACGAAAATTATTGTGCAAGTATTTCCATACCGCTGAACAAATTTACTTAGGCTTCTTTTATTTGTTTTCTTTGACCAAAATGTTCAATTTACGCCTTGAAAATAAAAAATAAAACGCGTTTTAATAATATTACAAAAAATTCAATAACTCCACAACCATTAAAGCTAGACTCGCGAAAATTAATATGAAAACAGTTCCATACCTGCTGAACAACTTTACTTAAGCACCCTTTGCTTGTTTTCTTTGACAAAGTGTTAAAATTACGCCTGAAAGTAAAAATCAAAACGCGTTTTAGTATTATTACAAAAAAAAATTATAACTCCACAACCTTCCAAGTTAGACCTGCAAATATTAATCTGCAAACATTTCCATACCTGCTGAACAACTTTACTTATGCATGTTTCGCTTATTTTGTTTGACCAAAATGCTGAACTTACGTTGTGAAATCCCTATACAAGCGTTTGTTATGAAATTACTTATGAAAATGTCACAACTTTATAGTAATATTCTACACCTGAAGTATTGAACTGCTGTTAAAATTTTATTAATCAAAAAAACTTTTAAAATATTTTTTCAAAACATGAAAAAAGGGAAGAAGAAAAAAGATTTATTATTGTAAATGATAAACAAATAAATAACTAATGTGGCTAATGATGATGAACCAATAAAATTTGGGGGTCTAGGAAATTATTTTAGAAACGGGAGTTAAGATTCCCCTTGCCAGTAAAATCAAGTCACGAGATGTAAATCATATGATCCGTAATGTGGTTTCGCAGATTGTAAGGTACATTATTACGGGATTGGTATCCCGTTATTGTAGATCAGATCAATTATTTTTATTAACAATGCATGTTGATCGACATTATTTTTGTAAAACGTAGCACAATAATATTTTATTGAGATTTCTAAAATGGTGTGGTAACATTATTGCTTAGATACCGAAATCATTTTATAATATCCTGTCTTTATCCAGAATTCCATTTGAATCTATCACCGCATCTGGAAAACCGCTAAATATGTTATTTGTTTAAAATGAAAGGGCTTATTGCTTAATTTGGCGCAAGCCAATTTCGGTATCGGGAATATTGAGCAACAAATGTAATGCCACGAAGCACATAAAAATGTTTAATATAAGTTTGTCAAAATTATGCAATAGTTGATGATTCTTTAAGTACACCTGGCCCATTATATGCACTGCCATTCGTTCCGTTTATCTTTCTATTTGGTGTTAAATATAACAAATGTTTGCGCAGCTAATCCTCCCTCGTTCCTTTTATTTCTTAGCCAAAATATTCATTCTAATTCTATCAATAGGTTATTCTATTAGAAAGAATCCAAGCAAGATAATTCCTCGTCTTTCAGAAGAAAATACAGTTTGCGACAAAAAAAATATCCGACAGACAAAAATTACTAAATTGCTTGCAAATTAACTTCGTGTCGATTGTATCACCATAAATTGGCGTTAATCACTTGGTTTGCTTCTTTCCGATTGGGTTTAGATTACGGCCGAAGAAATATTTTAGCATAAAATTCGGCATCCATTATTTGGGAAAGATTGGTTTGTATATGCTGCGCTTTTTTTTTAAAAAAAAAAATATCCTAAGCAAATTTAATTATTGTATTGGTCCATTCTACCTCAATTTCTGGCATTAATAAAAATTAAAATTTATAAAATAAATCGTGAATAATAAAGAAACATTATTTAATTATTTTTTTTTTGTTATTCGACAAAATTTGACCACTTGTATATATACTGTATCATTTCGGATATTCCAAAAATTTATCTTAAATTTGCGAAGATCGGATCAGATTATTGTTATTTGACTTTCTTGAGAAGCTTTAATCATGTAATTCATCACGTGTTACTACCTCCAATGTTTACAACCGGCTAGAACCGTATAAAAACAACCAACACTAAAGATGAACCTAATGAAAAGAAAAGAAAGCAAATTTTCAAACAAAAATATTAGCCCAAAGCAATCTAGTATAAATAATATAAATCTTGTACCATGTAAATTTAGTTTGTACTTTAGACATTACATATATGAAACGTGCGTTAATTTTCTCACATGCATGCAATGCATATTTTACCAAAGCGGAAAGGTATCTAGAAATTTTGAGATATTGAGAAATACGACAAAATAAAATCCTGTTTATCGACGTTAGGCAATTAATTATTCACAATATTATATTCTTCCCATTCCAAATTTTTTGGTTTTCAAATTTTATTTTTATTACCATCAAAAAAAGCTCGGGTCATGTGACTTATAAAATAATCTATAACACACCATATTAACTTAGTTTTTTAGGGTCCTCCCATGAAAGATTAGGTTGGTTTATTAAAATTAGCCACATTATATTTACTGTATATAATCACGTGACCGAGGTTTTTTGATGTTCCTCGTGTGGCTGATTTTAAATAATCTGAATTCTTTGAAATGGGACACCAAAAAATCAAAAATACTGCGGATCCAAACAATGTAGAATCTTCGGCAAATGCTCATTCCTTTACATTTATACAATTAGCGGAAATTCTATACCGTACGATCGTATTAACATTCAAGGTTGGAATCCTGCAAAAAATTTCCATTCAATTTTTATCACAACTTAGAAATGAAAATGTTTCCAAATGTTAAATTAATTACAGCAAACTTTCCTTGATTGGACGCGAGAACGTCATAAGATGTCATAAGAAACAAACATCAACTCATAGATACATAGAAATCTAAAATCTGACCTTTAAAATTAGAAAGTGAATGTTTTAATCAATTTGATTTTAAAATTTAATCGTAAAAATGATTTAATGATTAATAAAACAGCAATTAGTCTTGGATCAAAGAAAGAAATAATAATAAGATATTGATCAAAAATTTACGAGATTATTAGATTTAGATGACGAAGTTTTATTAATAGACATCAGATTCCCACACCCTTATTTCCATCAAAGGGTAAAGTTATACCTTTACCTTATGCTAACCATCTCATTGAAGCGGCAAACAATGCCACCAATCTAATAAGACCTTTTATAGCAATTGATTGGAGAATGGAAAACGGTAAACCGGAAATGATGGATGCCGATTTGTGTTAAAAGTTTAATATATTTATCGACAGGTTATCCATTAGTGAATGCAGGTAGAAAGAAAACTCAATCATCAAAATTTCTTATCATACCTGAACAACATTATGATGCGATTAAATTATTAAACAGCACATTTAATTTAAATACTTGGGTATAAATAAAAACTTGGTGTCATTTTTAATAAATTTCCGAATATAAAAAAGAATTTAATAAAGAATTTTGAGGTTCTGGATTGCAAGGAATATTTGATAAATAAGTTATGATGAATTCGAGTTATTTTATTTCTGGGTCTATAAGTGTTGATCATACTTTAAACTTCTTATTCACGTGAAAATTTAATTGTCTAAAACTCACCGTTTGTTGGTTTGTAAATCTTATCTCTCCTGAAAT